TAGTAGTAGTAGTAGTAGTAGTAGTAGTAGTAGTAGTAGTAGTAGAGAGAGAGAGAGAGAGAGAGAGAGAGAGAGAGTAAGTTTTGGTGATTTCCAAAATTTCAATGAATTTCATCAAGTTTCATTCAAGGGTCGAATTGATGGCCAAACTCTCTTATCACAAATCAATTTAATGCAGTTTAGCACATGGCCATCATCAACATTGAAAAAAATAAAAATAAAGTATGGATTTATTTTCATTTTCAGCCAAGCATAGCATTAGAAGGATTTGCCTTATTGGTTTTGGAATATTCTTCTTGAGATTCTTGCCTCGTTTAAAACAGCATTGAACAGCATTCTTCTAGGATTCTTATGTTATTCATAGCCTCCAAAGTTCCCAGCTTATATCAGTATGCGTAAAGCAATTGAATTGGAAACATGAACTTTAATTACTTATTTTTAATGAATGGAAGCTTTTTCTGTCGTTATCTAAAGGAAAAACTACTGATGTACTGCCCTGTCAGTTCTGCTGTATCGACCCTAACCCCACAGAAAACCATTTTAGGAAGATTTGTGGGACTTTTTTTTTAAACAGTTCTTGATTCACTTTATGATGTATTTCAGAAAAAAGGGTTTGAGCTCGTAAAACTGTTGATCTTAATGTCCAATAGATAGATGGTCCAGAATCATAGTTTATCAGAATCATAGTTTAAGCAGGAGCTACCATCCTACAAATTGACATTTTTCTGGCTCCTGGACAAGGCTGTCAAAATCAACAGCAGTATACATAAAAAGTTTACATGTTTACAAGTAACTTATGAAAAAGTTCACATGCTTATTAGTAAGATACAATCCTACATTCTTAGAGTGCATTAAAACTTCAAACTTAAAATTAGTATTTTTAAATTTCACCTTCTTAAGGTGGTTCCATCTCCATCCAATTAAACCCAATGCCTTTAGAACCATTTGACTTGGAAAGGATTGATAATGTGGAATAGTAGGTTGTCAAGAAAATTATATTTAAATTTTGCCTTCCTATGGTAGTTCCATCTACATCCAATTATACCTAATGCCCTTAGACCTAATTGGCTTGGAAAGGATTGAAAATGTGGAAGAGTGGGTTGTCAAGAAAGAGAGGAGGCCTGCTCTAGAAGGCATCTAGATAATTGGATGGAGATGGAACCACCATAAGAAGGTAAAATTTAAATATAATAATTTTATCAATTTTATGTTTGAAGTTTTTATGCACTCAAAGAATGAAGGCACTTAGATAATTGGATGGAGATGGAACCACTATAAGAAGTTAAAATTTTAAAATAATAATTTTATATTAATTTTATGTTTAAAGCTTTTATGCACTCAAAGAATGTAAGACTGTATTTTACTTAATAACATGTGAACGTTCTCATAAGTCTAGATGATAAAAATTTTATCGGTCAACTTTGAGGAGTCTAGTGATGAGCAAGGCGATAGAAATGAAATTGATGAAGAAGACTATTAATTATTTTTGACACTTTTATTATATCAATTGGGTTATGTAACAAGCTTTTAAGGCCTATGGGTTGCAGATTGTGCAGTTGTGGACTTGTGGTCTTATTTTCTCCCTACTTATGATTGTGGTTCATGACTGATGTATTTAATATTGGCACTACATCGATACTGGTTCCTGTGGTTCTGCAAATGCATGTCTGCTACGTGTTTAGTTTAGCTTCCCAGCTTCTATTAAGTCAAGTGTACTTTCTGAATTCTATAGTTAAGCCCGATTGCATGCTGAGTTTTTGCATATGCACAGGCAAACCAAAATATATAATATAGGTGCCACACTAGTTGGAGTCGACAAGTTTGGAAACAAATACTACGAGAGATTGGAAGACACTCAATTTGGTATTCCTCTTTTCTATTTTCAGATTTCTGGCACGTATAATTTTCCACTTCTTATGAACACTCTTACACTGTTATTAATTCGTATGCAAAGTATATGTTGGTTAAGTGCTTTGCAAATATATGCAGACAAAATTATATTAAAGTTAATAAATGTGAAATTTATCAGAAACCATAAGATATGAATAATTTAACATTTTACCCATGTCTTTTTATTTAATTTCAAAATACCCATTAAAAAACAAATGATCATGACATGGAAGAGTTGCAATAGGGTAAAATTTTGAATAATCTATCCCTTAATAAATTAGGAAAAGTATACCAAGAGACCAATTACTTTTGGTGTTAGGAGGTCGCAATCACTCTTGTCAATCAGATTTCAAATTGGGTGGTTGTAAGAGTGTCATTGACTGAAAGTTCAAAATTTCTTTTCTCGAACTTTGTAACACACCCCAAGCCATCCAGTTTGACATGTAATGGTTAGGAATAATTGTGACCTCCTTGTAACATAGATAAATGGTTTCATAGTATACAATCGCAATAAATTACCTTGATTTTGTTTGATTGCCAAAAAGGATCAAGGCTTGTAAAGTTTTCTAAAGTATGAGTACTTTACAAGCTTTGAAAAGTTTGATTTTCTATGCAATGGATATCCATAATTACTTGTATTTTTATAAGCTTTCCACGAAAAGGGAAAAAAAAGAAGTAAAAAAGGACCTCTGAATACTAGAAATGCTAGTTCTCTCAGAAGGAGGTATTGCTGCAAAGAGTTTGACAGTGAGGAAGGTGACTAGAAACCCCACCCCCCCCCCCCCCCATCTATCTCTCATATCACCCTAATAGCAGTCTCAGATATCTGGTGCATGTTCGATTCAGAATCTGAGATTGCAGGTAAGCTGAACAAACCATCTCTGTTACATCACAGGAATGGAGATGGTTTCGTTTAATGATGAATATGAAAAGAGAGGGGTTCTCTGGGACATTCTTTTTCCCCCTTTGTTAGTGTAACAAGATTATCATTTTCCTTGAAAAAGAGAAAAGGCGGACATTGTCCCCTCAAATTCATGAAACTTGGGTTCTTTGGATTTCTGAAGCCACCAACACTTCCTTACTTTTGGTAGCTTTTTTAGCTTGTATTGTTCGACTACGTTATCAACTAAGGTAAAGCATGAAAAATTCTTTACTTATTGAAAACCAGAACAAGACATAGGTGGGTTGAATATGGGGACAAAGGTCGCTACAATGCTTCTCAGGTTCCCCCAGAATGGCATGGTTGGCTCCATTTCATTACTGATCACACTGGTGATGAAATGAGTCAAATAATTAGTTAATCAATAATACATTGCCTTCTCAGGAAAGTATACCATAATGAAAAGATTTTGGAAAACGGCAGTCCATTGGGTCATTGCCATCGATTGAAATGATTGATGATGATGGGGAGAGAGTGGGACATGCCATTATTCATGTACTGTTGTGGTGGGTCCCATTCTCTCTGCTGTTCATCATTTAATTGGGATGGTGATAACTCTAACAGGATATGAATCTACCATTATCTTTTGTTTACAATATACTTCCTTGCTCTTGGTATATTAGATTGAAAACCATAAAGATGAAGGTCGATACTGCCTGCCCTAAGGATCCCATCTGTTATTGGGAGTGGATATTGGATGACCTTGACTACCAGTGGTGTACCATGTGCCATACACCAGTTGGCACTTTGTACAAACTTTTATGGTTCTTCTATGTACAATTTTGAACATTTCAGTGTAGAAATAGCTATTATTTGCATTCATATACCCCTTAGGCCATCTTTTCCTTGAATTATTTCGTTGTGCAGCTTTTGATGCTGAAACCAAAGAGATAAGGTGTGGAGCATAGGGAGAATTTCTCAGGAGAGAGTGATGAGTACATATATCCTGGCCAGAAAGACTAGACCAGGTACCAGCCATGGCAGCCCACCAAAGCTTAAAGTCACCATGTCAGCCCCTCTTGTTCCTCCCTTACTTCTACAGATTGTATTTCATTTGTGCTCTCAGAAAGAGAGAGAGAGAGAGTTCTGAAATTGTATGCTTGTGGTGTTGGTTGTGCTTTTGGAATTGCTTTTAGAAGTCTGACTTCCAGTGGATAAATTGTGAATAATGTAGTCAATAATAGCTAAGGTGATATTTGTGATTGTCTCTTTTATTCTCCAAGTTTTTTTTTTAATGGTTTTTATGGATTATTGGATTGGGTGAGTAGTATGTGGAAAAATAAAAAGAAACTTTTTTTTGTGATTGAATCTATAAAAAATGGAGATAAGAGATAAAAGGTCTCCTTTCTTGTTTTCGATCACAATGTGATTCAAGGAACATTGGCAAACAATTAGGGCCAAATTATTTTTGGGATGGTCATGGCGGTTTTATGGACCTGTCTGTAAAATGTTTCCAAGCCAAAAAGTTTTCCTACCTCCTGCGGGGTATATGCCATTCTTTTAAGAAGGGAAAATCCAATTTTTTTTCTTTGAAAATTATCAATTAGTTATTATTAGATGGATCATGAAATTTCAAATAATAAAAAAAATTCTCCATAGTGGTTTTGCCCGGGGGAGGAAAAGTATGCGCACTCTTTTTCCAACAGAAAACAAAAGCGTGGTTATGTGCTTTCGACTCCATTCTGTCCCTCTGAGTGTTTGAAATCCACACCACACGTCGAACCCATTATCGGCCAAGACACTGTTGAGGAGGACTTGAAACTCCATCCATAGTGAGGGCCTGCTGCAACAAAACGGCCTGCCTTGTGTGGTTGGAGGTTGTCGGAGTGCGGCTTGTAGTGTAAGGTGAGTATGTAGTTGTGAACTTGGCATTGGTATCCTCCAGGTTCGATCACTTCCTCGCATACACCACCAGCAGCACCATCATGGGTGATGGAGAGCTAAATACACAGTACCGCACCGATCCATCTGCTCCACCCCATTTCTTCTACTTTTACCCAAGAACAAACTAACCTCGATTCAGAAATCTCTCTCTTTCTAAAACCGGCCTTCTCTCGACTTTCTCTTTCTAAACCCCTCTCTATTATTTCTAAAATTCTCTCCACAAAACTCTCTCTCTATTCTCAATGGCCTTCTCCAATTTCTCTCTCTAAACCCCTCTCTATTTTTCTTCCTGACGCTATTCAACCACCCCAGGTTCACCACCTATTTATACAACGTGTGATTTTATTCCATCTCTTAAATTTTAATCCTGTCCTAATCTAGTTAGGAAAGCAACGCCATGGTCTGCCCTAACTCCTAACTCCACTAGGACTCCATCCTAAAATTATCCCCTACTAATTTTCCAATCTCAAACAATTATCCAAAGTTAATTCATTCTCAAATCTCAATTCTGTTCATCAAAACTTATCCCATACTAATTATCCAACCGCAATCTTAATTATCCATGTACAAGTAGGATATATATATATATATATATATATATATAGGGAAATGATCTAATGCAATAGTTGTATAGTAGTATAATGCAACCACACCTCTATAAAACCATATTTTTGGCATTTGCATGACCTCAAATTTTACACACACATTATCTTCATCCTCATAATCAATCCTACCAAAAAAATTTCAATTTGCACCCTAGATATGATCAAAATTAGTACCCATCGAACAATGAATCTCGACCATCCATTTGGTGAATTTCAAGATCTAGGCCATAACAAATTCAAAATCACTTTTTCTTTTTTTAGCATTATTAATCTAATGATGATAACGCTACATAACAATCTTGGGAATAAAAAAAAAATCATTCTGAGGCCTATATCTAACCATCTCAATAAAATGGACAGCTTATATTAATTGGACTTGAATGAAAACTTTCTAGAGCATTTTTTTAAAATTTGTTTTTTTGTGATTGTTTTCCAGAATAAAAAGAGTGTACATTTAAAAATTTATGTCAAACAAATGTCTCTAGCATGGTTTTTGAAGATGATTGCATTATATATATATATAAAAGTAATGATCCTATAAGACCCTCCTACACCCATGTATGTAGAATATCAAAAGATCACCATTAAATTTGATACAGATCTCTAGAAAAGTTATCATTTGAATGTAGGACTTGACTTTTCTATAGATTTGTATTAAATTTAATGGTGATCCTTTAAGGTCCTACACACATGGATGTGAGAGGGTCTCATATGATTATTACTATATATTTATATATATTAAAAATTAGATATTAGTAATAATAATTTATTTCCTAACCAAAATACACTAATGGGTAATTTTTTTTTTTTCATTTGTTGAAAGTTTAACTCCACATGTGGATAAATAAGTTCAAGAAGAACTAAAAGGCTGATCGTTTATGGTAAAAATATTGTATCCGACTGGATACATAGTTAGGAACTTAGGATTCTCTCTAAAACCTATCCAAGAGCCCTCCAACACAACCCTCACAGGCACAAAAAAAATAGCATTGACGACAAGTTATACTTTGCCTACTCATATTAAAGACTATGCATGACCCTTTTTAATTTGGGTGCAGTTTGCATACGGATGCATCCGTAAGTACAGATGCAACCTTAGGTACAGAGGTAAGGTGCACCTTCAAATTTTATCATGGTATATAATTTATATGTAAAATGTTTTAAGGATTATTTCAAAATTTATTTTTATATTTAATTATAAAATTTTAAATTTAAAAAATAATTAAAATCAAATAGATCTATAAATATATGAAAATCTTGAAAATAGACGGGTAGATAATATGTTGTAAAATGCACTATTTCTAATATTTAAAATCTTTTTATTTTTCATAGTCATACTCCTCGATGTCGAGATGATCAATCAAAGGGTTTTTAACATTAAAACTACCTTTTCCGATGGATTTTTGAGGGGCATCCGCAATTCTACATTATAAGGTAGCATCCTTATATAAACTTTTTCCTTTTAATTTTTCTTAATTTTTAGGAACAAATATTTTTATTTTTTAAAATATTTGTCTTCACTGAAGGTATAAGCTCTGACCATTTTGTGCATTTGAAGTGGAACAAAGTTTTACTTTGCGTACTAGTTATAAATTATTTTTTTAGTAGTGTTAAGTTGCATGTGATATGATATAGTTATAATTGAATAAAATTTCATTTTGAAATAATATTTTCGAAAAGGCATCATTCGATTATTATGTTGTTTTTAACATAATCAGAACGATTCATTTTATTCATGTCAACTATTTTTTACAAATACTATTAAAAATATAATAATTTCATTATTTATCACTAAATTTATATATTTAACATTATACAATAGTAATAGAATAAGTAATATTTGATTGACATATTGATAATTAATTGATAGTATTATGTAATTATTTAATAAAAAATTATTAAATAAACAATAAATCCTATAATTTGTTATTATTGATGAGTGATAGTACTCTATCAATTTATGTAATTGCCACTATATTATTCTACTTTTAATAGAGCAGAAAGGAGAACCAGGATTAGTGTAGCTGACCCCAACTAAAAAAAAAAATACTTAGATGATGATGATGATCATTATATAATTATAATAAGATGTCATTCTAATCGTTATCATAAACAAAGTAAAATTATGATACTAAATAGATTATTATAATTAGATTATTAATATTTATTATAATATTGTATATTATTTGCTTATGTTATAACATTGCCACAAAGTAAATTATATGTAGGAATACATACTCTACACATCTATATGATAGTGACAAAAATCTGTCCCAAAAAAAAAGAAGAAACACACGAGTTATAGATAATAACAATTTTATCATTAATAACATAATTAAGATTATGGTATACATAAAAAATTCCATTAAAAATAATGAAATCCAAAATAACAATTGAATTCATAATTTTCAATATTGAAATTATATTTTCAAAAATATTTATTTGATTATAAAGCGAGAAAGAGAGAATTCTACGGATTCATCTTCACATATGAGCATCTATATTTCATATTTTTGTATATAATATATGAAATAAATTGATATAATATATTAAAGAGAAATTTATTAAAATACTCATAATAGTTTAGTATTCAACAATTTAATAACCCATTTGTAACTATTCCAAGTCAGGAGCATGTTTCTTTTGATGGGTATTTTACAATTAAATAATAAAAAAATGAGTAGAATGTTAATAGTTTATCTTAATGAAATTTCGATAAATTTCCCTATATTAAATGGACTCTTTGGAAAATGGCTCCAATAGTGGCTTAGATTTGGAAAATAACATATTCAGTAGTAGGATTCTCATGGTATTCTCCTCTCTCTTTTTTTTAACAAGGAAAAGGCCTTTTTTCTTCAAATATATTTCATTACACATTTACAAGCTCAACAACAAAGAACACTCCATAATTAGAACTGCATGATTCAGAGTTGATGATAAGGGTTGCAAGAAACAGAACAAAACTTTTGATGCCAAAAAAAAAATACAAAAGATTGAGATACAATCGATTATAATAAGCCCTTCAAGCCACTTGATGTAAGATTCATGCTATCTAGTAACTCATGATAGATTCACATATAGTTCTAGTGCGAAAATGGAGATATTGATTCCTCTAATGCATTTGAGGACTCTAAAGCTTCCAATTCAATGAGACCTAGTTTGTCTGCCACCCCAAGTTCAGAACAAAGAAAGAATCCATTGCCAACATCTGAACCAATAACATATGTAACATTTGGAGGTCTTTTCTGTTGGTATTTTTTGTTTTAAAATATGCTTGTGTATTTCAAAATAATGTAGTATTTTGTATAGTTTTCTATAGCATTGTTTTGTTGTATCTTTTGCCTCTATTTCACCCAACCGATCATTTTCTACTTTGAGAATAGATTATGTACTTACTATAGAAAGAAGTCACAATCATTATAGAGAGTTAGATATGAAATTGGGTGACTAGGGGTGGGTCATTGATCAGACACAAAGTCCATAGATTCTTGAATTATATGATATACTTGAAGCTGTCAGATTTCACATCCAATAGCCAAGGGCGATCGTGAACTCGTATACAAAATGAATGGTCTTATGGTATACAATCCCATGAACAATTCATCCAATGCATTTGAGGCCTATAAGATATATATGTGTTTTCTAGATTGAAAATGGATAAATAATTCTTCCAGTGCACGTGAGGTCTGTAAATTACAAACTTTACCGAGAAAGAGATGAGACCATAGAGCAAAATGAAAGAATGCTCCATCAAACATCATAATCAGTAACCCATCAAAGATATATGTGTTCTAATTTCCACCAAAAGGGATATCTATGTGTTCTAGTGCCAGAATGGAGATATTAATTACCGAATCAGGTTTGTGACTTCTTTGTCTGGTACGGGACTGTGCTTGTGGACTGCAAAACCTAGAGCTCCATTGGTACAGGACGACGTACAACCAGGATGCCTTGATTTTCGAATTGAACGGTTGGATCTTGCCCCTAAGCCAGAAAACCCTTGCTTAACACCACCCCCGGCAATGTGAATGCAAGATGCCAGCAGAATAATTCTGCCGGACAGAGTCTAGGGCTGCTTCCTTCCCCCTGCGTCCTTCCTTGACGAAGGTGTGCATCTGGAAAAGAATGGGAACTGGGTCGGTCTATTCTATGGCTAAGCTTCGGAAGCACGTACTCGAGGACAATTTATCCAATTTAAAGAGAGAGAGGGAGGAGAAGATAAGATAGCAACCCAAGTAGTTAATGAGGATAGATCCTTGACTCAACATCCGAACCAGTCTTAAAAACAAACACCTTTTAGGTTATTCTAGCGTGACAAACGAGATATCAATTCCTCCAATGTATTCAAGGCCTGTAAAATATCCCATTTAAAAAGAGTAGAAGATAAGAGAGTCTCCCGAGTTGAAAAGTTAGGAAAGAACCCTTTACCCACCATCTGAAGCAGTAATTCATTGGCCTCAACCACCATACATTCTCTCAGATAAGTATTAATCAAGGTCCTATAAGTGACTGAATTTCCACAAAGCCCATTGGAAGCCATCTCTGCAACCAATTCATCAGCTCTTCTAAGCTTACCATCACTGCAAAAAGTCCTGATTAGTGTATTGTAAGTAATCACATTAGGCCTACACCCCATTTCTCTCATGACACAGAGTACCTCCATGCCTTCCTTCAGTTTTCTCTCTCTACAAAGCCCATTGATATATACACTGTAAGTGAACACATCAGGGACTAACCCCATTGCTAACATCTCATCGAAGACCTCGCCTGCTTGCTTAAATTCCCCAATGTTATAGAACCCATCCATCAGACTAGTGTGAGTAATGGTGTCTGGCTTTGCCCCCTCTGATTTCATTCGATTCAAAATAGCTCGAGCTTCGTTCAACCTACCACCCTTTGCTAGAGAATCGCATAAGAAATTTTATCAGGAAAGAAACCAGCGTTCTTCATCTCATCAAGAAAGCCATAAATTTCTGAAAATTCCCCAAATTCACACAATTTGCAGAGGATTTTAGCGTAGAAACCAGAATCAGGCTAACATCCCTGGTCAGGCTTGAGGTGTAAGAGCTCAATTGCAAAACCCAACTTTCCAATTCGACAGAGAGAACCGATAAGTATTCTGAAACTTGGAGCATCGAGCCTTATGTTCATATCCAAGGTCTTTATGAGAAGCTCAGGGACCAAATGGAATGAATCAGTGTCACACAAGACCGAAAGTAAAGCGTTCAGAGAAGTTGCAGAGGATTGGCACCTTAGATGGGGCATGGCAAAAAAGAGTTCTAGGGCCCCTTTCGCCATTTTTGAGGAAGCACAACTCTGAATAAGGCCTATGTTGTGGTTTCTGGGGTGCTGAACTTTCAATTGCTTTGGAGGCATCGCACAAGGGTTTTGAGCCCTGAGAATTGGGGGTTCTCAGCAAGAATGACGATGGTTGAGTCTGGGTGAGAGTTTAGGCATTTGGATGAAGTGTCTGTTGCAGAAGGAGGAGACAGATTAGGGTTTTGAGGTTGCGAAATCAGGGTTTTGGTGTCTGAGAATTGGCTTTTTAGGTAAGTATCAGGTGCAGGTGTGAGATTAGGATTTCGGGGAGGAGAAATTAAGGTTTTGGATTTGCGTCTGTCTCAGCGCTTTCATGGTAGGAAAAGTAGATCATGATGCGTAGATGAAGTTGCAGTCTGATATTAATTAATATTTTTTGAAAGTAAATTTAAAATAAAATACGCAATTTGTAGGAAATACTTGACGAAATATGTCAAATATTACAATGAAATTATAAAGGATATGAGACTCTGCTTTTCGAATGACTACCAGGTAGCGTTCGCAAGATCCAACCGGAACGGTCAACTGGATATGGCTCGAAAACGATTTAAGGTAAACCGATGTATTTAACCATTCTAATTGGCAATGTTTCAAGCGATGAAAAAATTGTTAAAAAAGTTTTAAAAAAATAATAAATAAATAAATTATTAAAATATAAAAAGCATATAAAAATAATTAAAAAAAAAAAAGTAAATATCTATTTTAGTTTTCATTATTACCAAAATACCGAATACTTTTCGTTATTACTAATAAGTCTGTTTTGTGGACTTCATAACAATTTTTTAAAAAAGACAAAACTATCTATTTTTTATTTTTCAAAAACGGAAATCAAACCGATTTCAATTTTTGAAAAATCGAAAATTTAAAATTTTGAGAGAGGTTTTAGGGAAGGAGGGACCTCTAATTGAGAGAGGGTTTAAGAGAGTTAGAAAAAGGCTCTCCGATTAGCAAAGATGGTTTTATTGAGAGAGGTTTTAGGGAGAGAGGAGGTCTTTAATTGAGAGAGGGAGGTTTGAGAGAGAGGGTTTCAGATAGATAGAGAAGGGCTCTCCGATTAGCAAAGATGGTTTCAGAAATAAAGGGGCCGCTAATTGAGAGAGGGGGTTTGAGAGCGAGAGAGGGTTTTAGAGAGATAGAGAAGGGCTCTCCGATTAGTTGATCTATTTTTTGACTTAATTTTTAAGGATTTGTAATCCCTAACATAAAGATCGTGAATATGAAAAAATAAGTAATTTTTAAAAACTAGAAATAATAATTCTAGTAAGAAAACATTTTGGTAATTAGTTTCTTTTGTTTTTAGATGGAACACCGGCTCGCACCCATCTTTAAAATGGATGGATGCTTTACACTTTTTGAACTGCATATGTAGTCATGCTGTCCAATTTGCATGAAACAATTTTCCTTTGCCAAAACTTTTCCATCAACTTAATAAAGCTTTTATTTGATAACCAATTTAGCTTCATTCTAAAAAATGATGGGCCAAACGTCATACCCACCAAATTCAGCAGGAGAGGGACATAATCAGTGGCAATTTTCACTTAGGCTTTAACATAAAGATTTGAAACTTATTGAGAATGGAGTTGGTCAGCAAGAGCCTATCCAAGAGGGTAAAGGTTGGGTCTGAAAGATCATGGTTTGACCGGGTGTAGGCAACCCCAATTGAAAGAATGTCTAGAAGTTTATTATTTTGAATAAAAGAATTAAACATACATATACAAAGAGAGATCTAAGGATTAACTGAGGATTCACTAGGTCATTGAATCACATTGAAATCACCTCCAATACACCATGGTACATTAACAAAATTGGTTACAACATTTAGTTCATCAAAAAATTATACTTTTTCATCATGACGGTTAGAACCATATACATTTGTTAAACACCATTTAAAACCATCCACAGGGCCACAAAACAAAATGGAGATATGTCATTTATTTAAAACACAAGAATCTTTTTGAACCACATTCGGCTCCCATATGACCCACAAACCACCTGATAAGCCATTAAAATCAAAACCCACAAATCCATTAATCTGCTTTCTCAAACTAACTTAGCTGATTGAAATATATGATGCATTTTGATAAATTTTGTCTATATTTCTCCCTCCTTTGTGAAGTCCCCGGTCACTTTAAATATTGGGAAAATACTATTTAAATAGTCATATTAATTAATGAGATGCTTAAAACTAATTATGGTCAAGCCCCTTAATTAAGAGCAAATTATTATCTAAGACTTTATCTCAAACAAAAAGTTCCTTTTTCCTAAACTTACCCCATCCCACAAAACCTTCCCATTCCCCCCTCTTATATGTCTCTCTCTTCATCAGGTTATTAGCATTTGGGAACTCCGTATTGTATTAGTTGCGATTTGTATGAGACATCAACCTTAATCAATACAAGTTGCACCTCTAAATTATGAAAAAAGGATGTAGTTTTGGTACCAAACTTTGTGGCAGCCTAAAAAATTATTAATGAAATTAAAGCTCTAAAAATGGTGCAGATCTTAAATTTTTTAAAATCAACAGATAATGCGCTATAAAATGCCCTTTTGTAAAATTTAAAATCAAACTCGTTTCATACTCATACATCTCAATATCAAGATGTTACAAAAACAATGTGTATTGTTTTGGTGGGCTTTTAAGGTGCACCTTAAAAGCCCCGCGCCCCTCCACACCCTCATCATGCATTAACAATTGGCAAAGTCTTCTTTACTGGGAAATGGTATCATGTACTTCCCAGGGCATATAATTTGGTGGTCCTCCCACTTCAAAAATCAATATTTTGCCTTACCATCCTACGTGAAGTCCCCCACTTAAGCTAATTTTAAATCTCGAGAAAATATCACTTTACAAAATTATTAAGGTAGTCAAATCATCCTATTTAAAATAATAAATAGGATTCAAAATTTCTAAGGATCTCAATGTTGAACCAAACCAAACTTAGGGAAGACTAATCGTCACAAGCTGTCATTTCTCTTCCTCTTTGGTTTTCTAATATTAAAATAATTTTTTTGGATGGATTTTTGAGGTGCAACTTTAATTTTACATTTTTAAATTGTAACTTTATATATATATATATATATATATATATATATATATATATATAT